TTAAGTAAACATAATAAAGAAGTGCCTTGGACCAGCAGCACCCCCCTCCTTTTCTGATCAATATTTGTTTGCCAAGGAAACAGTCCTGTGTTGAAGTGACACAGCAGCATCACTTTCACAGTTACAACGCTACCAGCTGAGCTTTGGGCATAGGTTTGGGGTACCCAATGTATAGAGCTGCACGTGGGGCTGAGGAATGAACATCTACAGCGAGGCTTTTGTGGTAGGAAGCAGCAGTGACTTAACTCTATCTCCATTTCTGACAATGGGATTGGGGGTTTGAGTTAAATGCAATGCTGAACACATTTGAAATACTCCACTCTGCACGTTTTGCAGTGCTGGTGATCAAACTCGACATCCAGCTTGGCAGAAGCCACGTGTTTGGTATGTACGTGGCGCACTTCGAAACTTAATTCCTAATTCTGTGCTGTGCTGGCAATAAGGGACCCCTGACCTCTGCTGCCCCAGCGCACGGAGATTGGATACGTGTGTGTGACTCAGAGGAAGCTGTTTTAGTTGTTCACCAGTATAAGAAAAAGAGGTGGAGCTGCAGGAGCCAAACAAAACCCAAAGCACTTCTATCAGCTACCAAGCTCATGCCCAAAAAAGCTGTTCAAACCCCAGTTCCCTCAAGAGATAAAAGTCCTCTGTATTGAGAGAATTTCTGGAGCATCTTGTGAGCACTAAGTACAACCCCCCTTAATTAATGAAGGCAGCTCAGCGTAGTCGTGTGAAAAGCTCCTGTGACACAAGGCCCAGAAAGGCTTTAGCAAGGGAGTGTGGCATCAGAAGGGTTTAACAGCGTTATGATGTCCTCGAATTACAGTGGTCACAACATGGAGAGATGTATTCCAGCAGTACATGAGCAGTAAAAGAAAATCTACTCTTTCTCTCTTGAGCCTGCATCACCTTTATGGAAAACTGGAGATGCCATCCCGGAGGATGCATGGCAAGGAAAGGAAAAGGAGATATAGGTGGAAGTCCCAGATTTTGGAAAGAAAACAAACTGGTTTTCCCTACAAATCACCCACCTCGTTCCAGCCCCTTTGTAGTTCCTGTTTGCGTTTTATAATGTGTTTAATAGTTTTCCGAAATCTGTCTGGTTTAGACAAAGCTTTTGCAACCTCGGAATTCCTGTAGTAACTAACGGTCAGGAAGCTGTTTGTTGATTTAGCACAGACCTTCTCTTTCCTTTGCACACTCACATATCCGAGGGTGTGTGCAGTCACTCCATCCGTGCGTTGAGCACACTTGGACCACAGCCATTCCCGTTGTGTGCGGTGAGGCGTGTAAAGCAAGACGTGTGGTACAGCAGGGAGGGCTGGTACTTAAAGGCTGTTTACATGAATTAACGCTGGAGAAAAGGAGCTGCTTGACAGACTGAGGAATTGAAACCCATTACAGATTGGAAAGGAGACGTGGGCTCAGAAAAGGCCGTGGCAGCGGAAGCTTCTCTGAGCTGCCCCCATCACCGTTGACGTGGAGACACCGTGCAAGGGGGAACCCAGTCGCTCCCTCCGCCTGGGTCACCCGTGGGGACAGCCCGAGGCTGCCCAGCTGCCTTGGACGGGTCTTTGCTCATGTGCCTATTTGTCCTGCAGAGGCTCAGCTGAGTCCCATCAAACTCATTTCACAAAATGAGTTTAGAAAACCCAATCTCAAAAGAGACAGAGCAGCTCAATTTTTCTTTTTTCTCTACCTCTTTCTAGTCTCTCTGTTGCGCTGGAAGATGAATGGTTCGGATGTGTCTGCAGTAACACGGGCATGGCTGATCTGCCTTTCTATTGATGACCCGTTTCTGAATGTCCTGGCCTGATTTATGAAAATGTACTGTACTTTGCACCATGTTTTGATGTTTCTCTGTTAGGACTGCATGCAAGCTGCAGCAGAACAGTGATGCTTATTCATTCAAGCAGTGAAGGGCTGGCTGGGAACTGAATGAGCTCATAGTTGTTGCTATCTTCACTTACAGAAACAGGAGAACACGGGTATCCCAAGCCTAATCATTCTTTTCCTGACCATCAGTTTGTTTTATGAATCATAATCTTGAAAGCACAAGGTCATGGTATTTATTTAATCATTCATATAGTAGGTTTTTAGGGACGGAGTCTTATTTTAACTCTCCTTTCTGTAATAACCTCGATAAATTTGGAACTGAGGTCTGTTTGCCTGCCAAATTTTATATCTCTTGCTATTGCTTGAGCATTAATGAATTTGAAATCTGAGGGTCTGATTCCCATCTCTTACTAGCGTAATTCAGCATTACCTCTATTGCCTGGAAGAGTCTCAGCCTTGTTCCAGCTTCTGTGTGCTGACCCGCTCTTCACACACACAGAGACCAATAAAAACAACAGCAAAACCTCACGTGTGCTGTCTAGGTGTGCTTCAAAAGCCACTGCCCAGGCAGGGAAACTTTACCCCGCTGGAAGGATATTTGGCAGGTCCCCTGCTACAAGCCCTGTTGCAAGTGCAGAGCAGAGGACATGCAGGGGAGGCAGGAGAGGTCTTGTGGGGAGCAGGGCTCCAGGGGCTCCACGCTCTGCTCTGCAGAGGACACTGAGGTCATTTGGAAACATCCCTCAACTATAATTTCTGGGCTGCAAGGCACAGAAGTGTACCTGCTGCCTTAAATCACTAGGAAATGGTTTTAGTCCTAGGTTGATCACCCATGGGGACATTTAATTGCCTAAGGTGTTAATTAGCTGAGATTCACGAATATGAGGTGTTGCTTGCTGGAAGCAGAGGTGGTGAGGACATCACACTGAAAGCAATTACCTGGCCCTATGCCCTGCTAAAGAAAATCCGTGTCTTCAGGCCGTTCACTTGTACGTGTGGTCCAGTCTCTAGAGCATGAGGACAAGTGAAGGACCTCAGGGCAATCAGCTCCCAGGGGAAATGTTTTCCTTGGGGCCACCTTGTCTTCAACTTTGATCTGTTGCCTCTCAGATGGAAATCAGCACTTTGAGACTGCGCAGTTTTTCTTCTCACTGGCTTCCCAGGGAACAGAGGAAAGGTGGGAAGCAGCAGACAGAGCTTATTGGCACATAGGAGAGTTGTCTGGTTTGAGAACAGCACTTAAAATACAAAAAGGCAACAGGGATAAGTGCAGTGCCAGCAAGGAATAGACGATTTCCACTTACAGCAGCAAGGTACCCCATGGGGTGGGAGAAGGAGCAGATGTACCAGGCACTGCCTGAAGGTCTTTTGACTTCTTGCCTGTCGGAAAGGCTACTAAATGTTGCAGGTAGGAAGTACGATGTAGTTCTCGCCCTGAAAATATTACCCTCACATTAGTGTGCCTTCTGCAAGAATGCAAAATAACGTCTGCTCTCATGCTGCTGCCCAGACATGCTGTTTCCAGAAGCAGAATGTGCTTATGCCTCCAGCGTTCCCTATAGCCATCTCTGCAGGCTCACATGAGGCTTCCCCTGGGGTTTTGCAGAGTCTCATCTTCCTCGGCTCAGGCCAGTTCGGATCAGCGTTACGGGGAAGCGGGTGTTACGTTAGTGACACAGGCGCCCGCCGGAGCCGGGACTGTGCCCAGCTGCCTGCTGTGAGGTCCTTCCCTTGCATTACATGCTCCCAAGCTTTGAGGCTTTTTTGACAGCAGCGAGGTTTTCTTGCTGTGCAGCACAATGAGATTGGATCCTGCCAGAAGCCATTAAGAGCTACTGTAAAACATGCTAACATGAGAATATACTGAAAAATGTAATTCTGCTAGTAAATAAACTCCTTATTTTCCTGCTAAAAATAGCAACTATAAGATTTTGACCTTAAAACAGACATTGCTTGCAAGAGAGGCATTGCTAGAGTCATGATAACCTTTTCTGGTACGTTACCTGGGCTCAGACAAGCAAGGACGGAAATGGATTTGCTATATGGATCTGTCTCTAAGGAGGGTTGTTGTTGTTTAAAGATAATAATATTAGGAATGCAAATTATCCTACAAAAGCTGGTGATATTTAAAGACGATTTAAATTCATTTAGCATTTAAACAGAAAAGTAGAAAATGGCATTAAATTCAGATGATGAGGCTGCATTCTGGAGTCAGAAATATTAAATACATCTACAGAATGGAATAGAAGGTCTGGCTGGTAATAGATTGTGAAAAGAGTTCAGGTTTTTAATAGATCATTCCTTCAGATCATCAGCACGGTAAAGTGGTAGTTAATAAATTATTTGACGTGTGCGTTTACTCATATATTTTAACTAGCTGTAATGAACAGGTCCTGTCAGCTCACCTAGATCCTTGCAATAGCTGCTAAATCGCTTGAGTGAGATTTAGTAACTCTCAGCAATATTGATGGCCAGAGCTGCAGGTAATAAATAAAGTGACATCAGGACTAGCTTGTGCAGAACATTGTGTAAGACCTCTGTCAGGCTTGCAGCAGAAATGAAGCTGTTTGGCCCCAACGAACAGCACTGGGCATCAGCGAGCTCTTCCCCGTGATTAGTTTTTGATTGATGTGACCACCCCATGCCCAGGCACCCGTAAAGGGACTCCTGAAGAACCTTTCTCCCAGTTTGGGGTTGACTAGAGAAATTTGTCCCCTACTGAATTCCGTATACAGGCAGTTACTTGTTCCTCCCTCAGGTACGTGATATTCCTTGGGCTGCACACAAAGTAGGGGAAGAGGATAGTAGCGTCTGACCGAGCTTTGGGGAGAGGAGAATAATCCTCTCTTGGTGCCATTACACTGGGACTATCCTAGTACTGGAGTGAGAATTAAGGACAGAAAGAAGCTGCTCTTTTATCTTAGATTATACTGGAAATGTTTATAGCAGAAAAAGCTTGCCTGTTAAAATGATGCCGAATTATACTGACTATTAAGGGCACACCAGGCACCTTTCTTGTTATTCCTAGTTGTCCTCTAAACTTGGAGCAAGTTTAAACCTATATACTTTGTCTTCCTCCCACTCACTTTCCCAGCATGTGGTGTACTTTATAATTTGTGAAGAGACTCATTAATTTTTTTTTCTTTCTCCTTTTTTTTTTTCAGGTTTCTGACAGATGTGACTATGTCTTTGTCAATGGGAAGGAAATGAAAGGGAAAGTGAATGTCGTAGTTAATTTTACTTACCAGCATCTGAGTGCCCCTTTAGAAATGACAGTCTGGGTTCCTCGTCTCCCGCTGCAGATAGAGGTCTCTGACACAGAACTAAATCAGATCAAGGGGTGGAGAGTCCCCATCATCTCTAATAAGAGGTAGGTTTCATTAGAGGATGTTCATTCTGGGCTGTGCGCTTGCCAAAGAGCTGTCAGGGCCAGCAGATCTGAACATGCTCATTTGGCCTTAATGCAATTCTGGTGTAAATTTGAAGGTCATCAGACATTTACTCAATAGGCTCCTGCACTGGACTTATGAAGGGAGCAGAAACTGCAGGCTGCATGATCCTACATCGGGAATCAATTTCCTTTTAGAGCACTAGTGACTGAGATGGAAAGAGCCAGTTGGCCAAGTTAGGCAGGATCAGCCATGAGGCAGCAGGAAGACACTGACAAGGACCAGCTCTGGCAAGGCTGGTCAGTCTCCAGCCTGGCTTACAGGTCCTGCCAGTTAATTTATTTGTTGTGAATGGTCACAATTAGTACATACTTGTTTCATGTCACTGTAGAGTGCAGTGACACTCATCAATGTCCCAAAGTCGGGATGCTGATGGAGTAGGGCTTTAGAGATAGTATGCATGCCCACAGGTCAGTGGCATGTGAATGACAGGACAGAGGGTGGATGTAGGCAGCTCTAGACTGTTTGGGTCTGTTGTCAGTGTTATTGAGAACAAGAAGAGCAATTGATAAAGTAGGTACTTGCTATTCCCACCTACCTATGAAGACATCATTTATTACCAGGTTTCTGTTAGTATCACAGCAAAGAGATGGGGATTTTGGTGGAGATGTGATTTCAACCTGAATGCTGTACAGAGAGGGATGTGTATATAGGTGCGGACAGAGGAGATTTCCATGGCAACACAAAGATGTTTATGGCAAGATCCAGAAAGAAAAAAGCGTGAAGGTCCTGAAAGTAAGGACTTACCATGGAAAATAGTGAGACGTATTTGGAGAGGACAAAGTGGCAGCCAAGCTAGCAGGCCAGTTGGTGATTTCAGCAGCTGTTTTGGAGATCTAGGCAGCCTGAACCTCTCAGATATGAACAAGGGAAACAGGATAAAAGTGGGGAACCTGACTGACTTCAGAAATGCTCTGAAGGAAGCAGCTTCAGTGGAGCGACAGAAGGGGGCAAAGGCTCCTGGTTCCAGCAACTAGGCTGCAGTTATGTTAGCAATAGCTCTGCTGTTGCAAGTTCTCCCAGCACCAGTTTAAATTAATTTTTTATTCTTGCTCTCTTACCAGAGCAGCCAGGGACAGCGATGATGAAGAAGAGGATGAACGTAAGGGAAGAGGCTGTGCCCTTCAGTACCAACATGCGATGGTGCGAGTCCTCACACAGTTTGTAGCTGAAGCCTCAGACCCTGGTGGCCAGCTGAGCTATTTACTGGGTTCTGACTGGCAGATTGACATTACCGACCTGGTGAGTGACTTCATGCAGGTGGAGGAGCCAAGAATCGCTAAGCTGCAGGACGGACAGGTTTTGATTGGGCAGGAGCTTGGAATGACGACAATTCAGGTAGGGAGAATTAATTACTTATTCCTTTTCCTCCATTAACCCACCACCATGGGAACTGAAGTACTCATCAGGTGTACAACTGCTTCTTGCAGTAGCGACAGAAATTGAAGCCATAAATTTTTGGAGCAGAATTGTCTGGAAGACACAGAAGAGATGGTTTTCTCTTCTTATCGTGTGCCCTGAAGTACGTAGATTGCAGTTTTAGCAAATTTAGCCCAACCTGTATACTTAGAGGATGTTTCTGGTTGTTTTGGTCTAAGGCTGTTTTGGAACCTGGAGCCAGTATATGGGCTATCACAAGGCACGCAGCGGGTGAAACAGCTCAGTCTTCTCAAAGCCTACATTGACAGAGCAAAGGGTAAAGTAAAAATTAGCTAGTGTTGGTTGAGGAACTGAGGCTGGAATATGAGTTCCATGGGATCAAATCCCTGCATGTCTTGCAAGCTCAAGTGATGTGTTACAAAATATAAATGTTAGGGTACATTTCAGAATATGCACAGAGCAGTAATAAAAATTGGTACTTCTGGAATGATGTTGGAAGACTGATTAGTGACAACTAAGCTATGTTCTCCAGGGGTTACAGTTTCATCCGTTTCAGGCAATATGGCCAAGAATAAGGCCTATAAATACTACTGTATATGTGACTGTGCCTTAGTGTCCTCCCTCTGAAGTAACTCACCTAAACCTATGAATCATGTCATTGGCAGCTTTTCACATACGGTTCTTCCTGCTGTGCAGAGAAATACTGGCCTAGAAAATGGGGTCCCCAAAGAAAAGAGAGAAAAAAAAAGAAAAATATTAATCCTACAAAGTAGAAAACATGATAACAAGCACTGTAACAGGGAGAAAAATCTACCTCTCCAAACACGCTCATCATCCCAAACTGTCAAACCAGAAAACAACAACCACACCTGTTGATAACACAGGTTGTCAGGGCTGGAGAAATGGGATTCAAGATTTTTGACTTTCTGCAAAATCTGTAAAGATTTTCTGAATGACTTTCCAAACCTCTGGGGCTAACAGCGCTCCTACAAAGACACATAAAACTGTGGGAAGAAAAATCCAAGGGAAAAAAGCTGTAAGCAAGTTATATTTAAAGAATATCTCTTATAAACTTCTTCAAAATGCTCTGTGCCCTATAAGGATCATTAAATTCAACTTGCTTGCTAATGAGCATCTTTGGATGTCATATATCAGTGCACTGACCTCCTTGCACGTTTTTTTAACCAAAACAAGTTTTCTCAGTCAATTTTGAATACAATACCATGATGGTTTATTGTAGCAATACATAAGCCTTTCTTTCTATAGGATAGAAATAAATGTCATTTATTCTATGGATTTTATATAAATCTACAGATTGCGTTATGTATATGCTACCTAAAAATATGATGATTAATAAAATAATGGCATTTCACGTAAAGATTACATTTACAAATAGCTAATACATCTGAAGCAGATGTGGTTAGCATATTGCAGAGGTAAACAGCATAGCTGATTAGAATTACGTTGGAAAAGATGTTATAAGCACCCTATTATTGTGTAAAAAGAGTTGTAAAACATGACTAGCCATTTTTAATCATATTTTAATAGCATCTGTCTGCTAAGAATAATTCTACCCATTAACATAAATATCACTTATCTGTATTATGGTAGCTCAGTGTAGCTCTTCTGCTTTGTGCTACGCAAAATGTCTGTTGCTGACTTTGATTTTTCATTTCAGATATTGTCCCCCCTTTCGGATGCTATCTTGGCTGAGAAGACAGTGACGGTTCTGGATGAGAAGGTGACAATAACTGACCTGGGAGTGCAGCTGGTAACTGGATTGTCGCTTTCTCTGCAGCTCAGTCCAGGAAGCAATAAGGCCATCTTTGCTACAGCAGTAGCACAAGAGCTGCTGCAATCTCCAAAGCAGGTACTATGTTGTGGAAAGACACTGCTCTGATTCACTATACCCAACATTACAAGCTGATGAAATCAAGCAGATTTTTATTAATAATGCAATAATGAAACATTTTCCTTATAGGCACTTTTTTCTGAAGGCCACCACGTGCCTTAACAGAAGATCCCACAAAAACGTCACTATGTCTAAACAACCCTGGTCAATAAACAGGCATACGCCATCTGTCATGGCTGCATCCCATAAATAACACATGCAACTCAATGATGTGTCAGAATTAAGCAGCAGCAGTTCCCTCACACGCACACATACACACACACATCCTCCTTTCTGTCCCATCCAGCACCTGCTAGATCACAGGAGATATTGCCAACTAGTTTGCCACGTTCAGCCTCCCACCACAGGCAACCAAATCAGCCCTTTAAGTCTGTCTTTAATGAGAAAATGTTTTGCATAGTGCCAAACTCTTCTTCCTTTAGTTGCATTCTGTGAGCCTTTTAAGAAGCTGAGGAACATCCCGTTCATTCCCATTCATTACTAGAATATGAATCAGCATCATTGACTCATTTCCTGAGTCATGATATCATAAACCATTTTTTTTCCTGTTATTCTTAGTTTCTGTATTACAGATCACTATTATATCATTCTCTTCACTCAGATCTCCGCAGGTTCCCCTGACATGAGAAATCTTACTATATGCCTGAGGACAACAGGAAAGTTTTCTCTCCACTGCAGATTAGCTTTGTTCCTGCCTTTGCCGTGGGGTTACTCCATGGGCAATATGAGACTTGCCCTCTTCTGTCTTCTGGTGCTAGGAGTGTTTCAGTCAAACTTCACATGCACAAGCTCTCACAGATCTGAAATCCTTATGCTGAGCAATCCATGTGCTGCCTCTGTCCCTGTGCAGAGTTACCAAGGGCTTTTGTTCTTTGCCGTGTCCCCATCAGTTCCTGCTTGATGCTTGTCCTTGTTCTTCTGTCTACATCGGAAATTTAAAGTTTTTTTTCAACCCAAATCCATCAGTCTGGGGCTTACATCAAGGATGCATTGGGCTCTTAATGCTTAAACATGTTCAGAGCTTTAAAGGTAAATTGTCATGGCATGCACGTTTGAAATCTGCCCAACTGTTGAGAGGCTTTAATTCATCATAGGGTCTTACCCTTGGGATGCAGGATGAGAAATAATGCAGAATGGCTGTCTTTATAGGGTGATAAAAATCAGGGTCCCAGAGTATTCCGGGAGTTAAGAAATCAATTCCAGGCAGCCAGAAATAAGGCCAGTGAGCTAATCCATTGCTGACATGGGGAGTTAAACAAAGTACTTTGAAATCAGCCCAAAAGCTGGGGTCGATGGCATTTAGTCCCAGTACACCGCCCAGCACCGACATTTCAATTCCCAGAAATGGAGCCTGGATGAGTCCCTCTCTGGATGCAGGGGTACACTCGGAAAATCACTGGATCAGTATTAAACCAGCAAGGAAGATGTGCACCTTCCACCTAGGAAGGACTGACTCCGTTTTGAGAGACATCTGATTCTCTCCATTCCTTAGTACATGATTTTCAGAGCACAATCCCTGTAAGCAAAGCGAGGCAAAACTGTTAAATGATTATGCAGGTTTAAGCAACACAGTGGGAGGATGAGAGTTGATGACATAAATTCTATGCAGCCTTCAAAAAATATCCAAAGATTAATAAACACAAAGCCAGGATTTATGACAGTGTCAGCAAAGTCTTAGGGCTCTGTCCTGAAATAGAGACGGAAGCAAATCTCCCATTGAAGCACGGGGAGCTTTATGGCTGTGAGGATTGCGGAATCAGGCCAGTCGATTATGCACGATACAATCCCAAAAGACTGGAGGCTTATTCTCTGTGATCTGAACAGGTGAATGACTATGTGCTAGAAACAATTCAAAAGATAATGATAAATATTTATTCTCGGTATATATGTTGAGTTAGAATGTAAGTACAGCCTATTCGAAAACCTACTTATTTAAAGAAACAGGACTTTTATAATCGTGGTTTCAGCAAGTACAGTTATTAATCTGTTGGTTGGGTGTTTCTGTCTCTCAGGCTGTCCTTGAGAGCAGAGTGGTCCCAACTCTTACCGGACAAGACCTCACCTCATTTTAGACACCAGAGAATCCACTCACCAAACCAGGAGTCTTTCTGGTGTGGCTTCTCCAGTGGCTAATAATGTGCAAGTATCCCAGCTGAAACAGAGTAAGTCAGACCACCAGAAGCAGGAATTCGATTCCGGGAGAGCAATCTCAATTTTGTCTGTAAATGATTTACGTGTGAATGCTACGATTTTTTTCAGGTAGCATAACAATTTTTGATAGCCATTTGAGAGTCCTCAAAGGACCTGATTTTCAGAAATGGATGAGCACATGTTTTCTGAAATCTAAGAATACTTTTAAATGTTTCAAGTTAGAAACTGAACGTCAGGGTTCCAAGGAATGCTGCACCATTACACGTGTGCAAGTACAGAACGAGTACTCAGCTCTGTCCCATTTACATTCAGTAAGCCTCCATGCACTCTGAAGTGTACAATTGCATTGCTGTGGCATGAGATTAAACTTCATTATTATCTTGCCTTTAATTGCTAACAAGCATGAAAATTACCCTGACTATTTCCTAAAGAAACAACTGATTGGTTTCCTCTGCTTATTTAATATGAGAGACAGAAATCAAGGGCTGAAGGTATGGAGCCATGTATGGACCTACTTGTTATATTAGGTGTTTTTTAACATTTGTTGTGTGTAACGAGGAGACTTTGTATTTTAAGCAGTTTAGAAGTAATGTAATATATTTTTATCATTTAAATATACAACAGTAAATGATGGCAGTCACTGGTAATGCCTTCTGACATGCAATTTATTATGGCACTGAAGTAGATTCTGCAGAGCCCAGGGAACACAGCTCCTTTAAGCATCTTTGGGGAAACAAATCTTATTATCAATGAGTGTTTTAAACTAGCATTTCTCTTCACAACTTGGCAAAATATGAATTTTATTGCTCTCCCTTTTTATTTCTTTTCTGATTATAAATGGTATATGGATCTTGTGAGGAGGAGGAAATAGACCAGGACAGAACATATTTGCCTCGATGTTTATTCTGAATGTGAGTATATTTGTTTTATATATTACAGGAAGCAGCCATCAGCTGCTGGATCCAGTTCAGTGATGGGTCTGTCATGCCCCTGGATATTTATGACTCCAAAGACTTCTCCTTATCAGCTACATCTCTGGATGAGAAGGTGGTCTCCATTCACCATGACCCTAAATTCAAGTGGCCTGTGATTGCTGCTGAAACAGAAGGCCAGGGGACACTGGTGAAGGTAGAGATGGTGATCAGTGAATCATGCCAGAAATCCAAAAGAAAGAGCATCCTAGCTGTTGGCAGTGGTAGCATTAAAGTCAAGTTTGGGCAGAGTGATGCCAACCCTAACATCAGTGACAGTAAACACAGGGGTGCTGGTGTCCACCTAGAAAATCATGCCAGTGACAGGCGTCAGAAAACCACTTTGCAGGAAAGAGCTGGGCTAGATGGCCAGTATTACAGCTCCTCAGTGGGCCATGAGCAAGGCAAAGGGACCACCACTCAAAGATCTATTTTAAGTAAAAAAGAAGACAGAGAAAGCCTCCTGGATGACGACAGCCATCTGCAGAACATCCCAATAGACTTCACAAGCTTCCCTGCACAGGTGGATCTGCCAAGAAACAACGGAGACTTGGAAGAGAATGACCTAGTCCAGACCCCTAGGGGACTCAGCGACCTGGAGATAGGCATGTATGCTCTTCTGGGAGTCTTTTGCCTGGCAATTCTGGTGTTCCTTATCAACTGTGTCACTTTTGCTTTGAAGTACAGAAACAAGCAAGTTCCCTTTGAAGAGCAAGAAGGCATGAGCCACTCTCATGACTGGGTTGGGCTGAGCAACAGGACAGAACTTCTGGAGAATCACATAAATTTCTCATCTCAACAAGATGAACGTATCACAGCCATTGATAGAGGATTGGACTATGAAGAGAGCAAATATCTCCTCAACACAAATGCCACCAAAAATATTAACGGACAATCTTTCAAGTCTACTGAGTCCCCATTCGCTGATGGGAAAGAACAGAAAAGTGAACCAACTGCTTCTCCTACCTCTAAGAGGAAACGGGTTAAATTCACCACTTTTACCACCATCTCCTCTGATGACGGGTGTCCAACTGTCAACTCAATCTTGATGAGTAGTGAGGATGACATTAAATGGGTCTGCCAGGATATGGACCTGGGGGAGTGCAAAGAACTTAAAAACTATATGGAGAGATTACATGAAAATGCATAATGAGACACAAAAGACATTTTTGTTTGGTTGGTTCGTTCGTTTATTTTTCACTCACCTTCTGCCTTTAATTTTGGGTAGTGGGGCAAAATGTTGTACTGATAACAAGAATCAGCTGGTGGATAATAACTCAAAGGAGCCCCAAGAAGCCACCCAAAAGCAGCTGGGAGAGCAGAGATCCTGGACAGCTCTTAAAATTCAAGTCTTCTCTATGCTCAGAGATGGAAGTGAGAGATGTGTGTGGTTTTTTGATGCATGGTAACACAAAAAAAAAACTTAGCAAAATAATACGGTCTCATTCTCTGAGCTTTCCCAGGAAATCAATAAATATAACAAACTCCAGCGCAGTTTGGATATTACAAAGTTCGCACAACTCTGCTGTTCAATATTGCAAGCTTTGGTTAAAAGCAAAAAATTGGTCTCAGAATAAATAGATCCACGAAAAGAGCCTGTCATTCAAGCCACATGCAGAGAATATCCGTCCAAGAACATTAATTTAAAGCTGACAAAAACCAACAGTGTGAGCAAAACAGCTCCCAGAGCTGAAAAGTCATGAGTTTCCAAAGAATCTGGAGGGGAAAAAGGAGTAACTGGGCTGTTTACAAACCAACATGTTTGCCTCCCAAGCACTGAGAATGGATACACATATACAGTTAAAACTGAAACTCTCTTTTTAAGTAGATGCCAAGGTAATAAACTTTGCCAGCCAATTTTCAGTATTTCTTAATCTGTAAAATAGGAGAAGATGTAATCTCTACTCAGAATATCACTCATACAAAGGAAGGTCTGTTTTGGGAAGTTTGAGAGAACACGCTATTTTTAAAAGCTCACTTTATTTGATTGTCCTGTTTCAAATTTGTATTCCCAGCCGTTTCCCTTGAGCGCTCCCCATCTGCTATCCTGAGGGCACTTAGTAGCATCAGTCTAGGTTGGAAGCGTGTGGTTTCTTCCTTCCCTTCCACGCACACTCGCTTCTCCACGGTGTGCTCTTGCCAAGCACAGACACTGTTGGTACCACGCTGGTCCTCGCTTTACATGCGGTCATTTACCAAAGCCGGCC